AATTTGCTACACACATATTTTGCTTTCATATGGTATTTTGTGCTCTCATAAATTCAAACAAATTTGGCTTACCTGATCATACATAATAATTTTATCAGCCATTGTATACAACAAGGTTGCCTGTGTAATAAGGTCCTTCTTATTGTCTTTGTTCTTTTCTTTACGAGCCTGTTGCACATAGTAGGCTGCCAATGTATCCAAGCAAGTCATCTGGTCTTTCTCATGGTCTCTATAGTCCAAATTGCCATCTATCCGTGCTGCTTCCAGCAACTTTACAAACTCTTCTGTTTTTCCTTGTTTGTAGTACTCCAGCTAAAGGCAAAGGATGATATTAATATCACTAAACATGTGTCCACATACAAAAACTACACAAATGTTTACAGAACCTTTATTTGTAATAGCAAAAAAACTGGAAGCCAACTATTGATTAACAAGTGAATCGATAAACCAGCTGTTGTATATCTCTGTGATGAAAAGGACTGAGCCATTGACAGCTTCCACAATCTAAATAAATCTCAAAATAATTATACTCAAAGAAGCCTGTTCATCAAAAGAATACATACTGTGTGATTCCACTTAACTTTAAGACTCTAAAAAGTACTTAATGGGGCTGGAGAGATGACTCAGTGGTTAAGAGCACTGGCTGCTCTTCCAGAGGACCTGGGTTCAATTCCCAGCACCCATAGGACAGCTCACAACTTTCTGTAACTCCAGTTCCATGGGATCTAACACCTTACACCAATGCAAATAAAAATAAAGTTAAATAAATTAAAAAATACTTAGCAACAAAAATACAACTAAAGGATCTGGAGAGATGGCTCAGTGGATTAAGAGCAATGGCTGCTCTTCCAAAGTTTCTGAGTTCAATTTCCAGCAACCACTTGGCAGCTCACAACTATCTATAGTGGGATCTGATGCCCACTTCTGGCATAAAGTTGTACATGCAGATAGAGCACTCATACATACAAGATAAATACATTTTTTTAAAAGAAATGCAATTAGAGCAGATCAGTGGTGGCTGGAAACAGAAGGGCTGGGAAATAACAGTGGAAATAACTCTGGGGCCATGGACACATTCACTGACTTCACAGGTACACACAGACTCAATACCAAATGGTACAGTTCACACATGAATAGTTTATTACAGGCCAACTAGACTTGAATAACGCTATTAAAACTGAAATCACAGAAGATATTTCTGTTTCTCATCTAGTAACAATTTAACTCCAGTACTGAGGAATCAGACAAGTAGATCTTGGGAGCTTCTTGGTCAGTCACTCTAACTGAAATGGGGAGTTCTATGTTTAGTGAGAGACCCTGCCTCAAAAAGAATGTACTAAGTACACAAAAAATGTTCAATATCTTTAGCCATCAGGAAAGTGTATGTGAAAAGTACACTGTGAGCTGAGCATGGTGGCACAAACCTACAATCCCAGCACTTGGGAGGTGATGGCCAGAAGATAAGGAGTTCAAGGCCAGCCTTAGCCAAATAGCAGGTTTGAGGCCGGCCTCGGCAACATGAGATTCTGTCTCAAACAACATCACCCCAAATGATAACAACAAGCAAACCAGGAGATGGAAAGATGGCTTGGCAGTTAAGAGCACTTGCTGCTCTTACAGGGGACCTGGGTTTGGTTACCAGCAGTTTGAATGGCAACTAACAACGGTCCATATCTCCAGTTATAGGGGGGTCCAACACCCTCTTTGGCACAGAAGTATATATGTAGGCAAAGCACTCATACACACAAAATATGAGTAAATCTTTAAAAATAAAAAAACTAAAAAAAACCAAAGATAATTAAAAAAAATTACAAGGAGATTCTACCTCAGCCTAGTTAAAATGGCTATATTCAATAATAACAATAACAAATGTTGGCAAAGGCCATATGACCCACCTACATCACTTCTAGTCTTATATCCAAAGGTAATAAGTCAACATATATAAACACTACCTACACATCCACTTTAAAAAATTATTTTTATTTCATGTGCATTGGTGTTTTACCTATATGTACATTTGTGTGATGGTACCAGATCCCCTGGAACTGGAGTTACCATTATCAGTTGTCATGTGGGTGCTGTCAGTTGAACCCAGGTCCTCTAAAAGAGCAGCCAGTGCTCTTAAATGCTGAACCATCTCTCCAAACCCCTGCACATTCACTTTTAGTGTGGCATTATTCACAATAGCCAAGCTATGGAATCAGCCTAGGTGCCTATTAATAGATAAATGGTAAATACACTATCCATAAGAGAGTTTTATCTAGCCATACAAAATTAATCATGTTATATTCAGGAAAATGAATAGAACTAGGGGCCACATATAAAACATCAAGCATTGTATAGATTTTTTTTTTGTATGTGAAGCTGGAATTGAGAAAAGGAAAAGAAAAAAAAAGGATAATCTCAAAGCAGATGGATTACTAGAAAGGCATTAGGGAGATAAGAGGGTAGTTAGGAAAGTAGATATGGAAATGTCTCAGAAAAATCCATTAATATGTATACTGTGCACTAATAAGTATATACTTTTGGGAGACTCAGCAGGAAGACTAGAAGTTCAAGGTCAGCCTGGGCAACTTAACGAGACTCTATCTCAAAAGGTAAAAACAAGGCCGAGGATAGCTTAGCAAATGAGTGTTTGCCTAGTGTTTGTAAAGACCTAGGTTCAATTCACAGGAAACTTGAGCAAGAGATATGCCCAATTCCAAACCTATTTTTTTGACCATCAGGGAAATACTAAGAACTTCTTTATATGAAAACCACTTTCGGCATACCAGTTTAAGAATAATGAGTACAGAGCTTATCTTACTATCTCTCATAAAAAGGAAAGGTAATTCCAGGGAGCAGAGAGTCTCAAGTGTCAGGCTCTCAGATTGGATTTTAATGAGAATTTCATTAACATTCATATTATGGAGGCAGCAACAAGTATGGCAAAAACACAAGGTTGAGATAAAGGTTGTTTTTTGTTGTTGTTGTTGTTTTATAGCTTGGAGCCTAATCAACTTCCAGATGTTTTAGAAGTTATGGAAAGCAATATTTACACAGTCTATCTATACATAAGCTTCACTGAATTACCACTAAGCAATTAAAACCTTGATATAGACAACTATTTACCTTAAATGAATCTTGTCTTTATCAACAGACATTAATTTACCAGTAGAATTGTTCTTAGGAAACTGCCCTTATTATTTGTTTCATAAACAATAATATAACTTTTTTTTGTTTTGTTTTGTTTTTCAAGATAGGCTGTGTAACCCTCACAGTTTTCATTAGACCAGCCTGGCCTCAAATTCAGAGATTGACCTGACTCTGCTTCCCCAGTGCCTGGCAAAACTGATTTTCATACAGATGATTTAATTGTGTATAAATGATTTAATTTAGTCGGGTGGTGTTGGGCACACCTTTGATCCCAGCACTTGGGAGGCAGAGGCAGGCAGATCTCTGTGAGTTCCAGACCAGCCTGGTCTATAAGTTCCCAGGATAGCCTCCATAGCCACAGAGAAACTCTGTCTCGAAACCCCATGCAGGCTATTACTGTACTTGAAAACCAAAATCACATTTTTCCATTCAACAAATAATCTGCTATATGAATACTGACCGCCAAAGCAATCCATATGTGCAGTTGTGTGTGTTCCTGCTTCAGAATACTGATAACTTCATCTCCCTCTGGTAACTGATCAAAGTCAAGTTCAATGACCTAAAACACAAAAGAAAAGTTTTATCTCCTTTTTTAAATTCACGATTTTTCTTTTCTTCATTTTTGGATGTTCATCAATATGTATATGCAAAGGGTGTGTACTCATTTTCAATGGGGTGAATTAATACATGTTCACATTTAGTGAACATATGGCAAATAAGTTGTAGTCTGATTTAGTTAAAGCACAGAGAAGCAGACAAATCCTGCTAGTTGTCTTCACATCACTAAAACTACAAAATTCCCAATGAGTTGCTTACTCAAAAACAAAATGAAACCTTGTATGACCTATAATCTAATAAAGTGCTGATGCCATAGGTCTAAGATCTTGAGAAACATGACCCCAGAGACCAGGCAAGGTTGAACGGCAACGTAAACATAAATCACGGAGGCAGCATTGTGTGTCACACACATGCCTGTAATGTGGGCACCAAAAAATAAGAAAAGTGTTCTGGAATGTACCCAAGACTATCGGATTGTAGAAATAAATTCTACCTCGATCAAAAATTAAAGTGTGAAATATCCAGTAGGATTGAAGCAAAGCTGGAGCTTTATTCAGAGAAACCTCACACCACCCATGGTGGAGAGTGGGTCATTGCCACCCAGCACACGGGAGCGGCTAAATCTCGGGCCCCTTATCTCACTGAGAGAGCTGTGTAACAGTGTGCCTTGACAGACTCTTCTTCGAAGGCACTAAGAGCGACCTCTGAGACCTCCAGGGAGGTTAAAAAAAAAAATATCGCGAGTTTGAGCAGTAGGAAGACCCGGGGTGGGGTGGGGGGGGCGAGCGGCATCAAGCGCCCTCTGCAATGGTGAGGTTTACGGGCGCTCACATCGCTGCGCCCCGGAATTAGGAAGACAGCCGAGCCAAGGACTGTCAACAAGGAGAGGCTGCAGGCGAACTTTCCCGAAGTCCTTGCAGCCAGAAAGGCGAGCAGGTGAGTGGAGCTCGACCGCGGCTCTCCACTCAGAAACCAAGCGGAGCAAAGTCGACGCTGGGCTCGTCCAAGTTCACAGCCCTCCCCCGCTGCACACTCTGCACCCACCTCGTCAGTATCCCGGAGGGGAATCTCGATGGAGCCCCGAGACATGGCGAGCTTGGAAAGCGGGGGCTTCTCACCCCACCGCTCGGCAGCAAGCTGTCTCGGCTTCCAGACGTGCGAGGTTACTACACCTCACACCCAGCCGAGCTGCCTGAGCTCCGGCTTCTCCCTCCTTGTCCGCAGCTGAAACAACGAGCCTCCGATTGCGAGCGGCCACTTCCGGAGGCCCCGCCCCCTGTCCCGGAAGCACTATCTGGAGGGCGTGTCCCACGCGAGCTCCGCCCTGCGTCTCTGGCGCGTCCCTCTGTGGAAAGACGGATCTCTCCGAGGTTGTCGGTGTGTCGGCCGCAGGTGACTCGAACGCCTTCGGAAGCCTGGCGTCTGCCGCTAAGTAGTCCGAACGGAGCTCAGCGTAGGCAAACGCCGAGGGGAGAAAAAGCGAGCAAGGCGAAGCCACACCCCGCGTTGGGGCGGGGCCTCTGATGACGAATGCTATGGGCGGGCCCTCGCTGGGCCCCCTAAGTTTCTTGGGCACAACTCAAATTGTTTATCGGTGCTGCAGTCGTTTCGTCGTTCTTCATACTGTTAGTGCAAGTCACACTGGTGGTATCTTTGTGACTAATTTAAATAGACTTTCTCAGTGAATTTTGAAGTTATGGTGCTAATGTACGAATTATTTTTATTTGTTGCATTATTTATTTGCCCATGGGGACACGCGACCGCGGGTGTGGCGAATGCAGGTCATGGGACACCTTGTGAGAGTCAGTTTTCTCCTCTTACTTTTTAGGTCCTGGGGCTCAAACTCACGTTGTCAGGGTTTGGCGCCAGGCAGCTCTTCCTGCTGAACCATCTTGCGGGCCCTATTTAATTTTTTGAGACAGGGTCTCACTCTACCCCAGGCTGACCTGAAACTCCCTCCTCAGTTTTCTGATTGTTGCAGTTATGGACATGAGCTTGGGCACCTGGCTTTTTGTTTGTTTGTCTTTTCAAAACAGGATTTCTCTGTGTAGCTATTCTGACTGCCCTGGAACTCGATGCCTCGAACTCACTGACATCCGTCTGCCTCAGCCGCTGGAGTGCTGGGATTAAAGGCGTGCGCCGCCACCTCCCGGCCTTTTATGTATTTCTTTATGTAGTTATATTTCTTGGAAGCACAATTAAAAGGAACCGCTAAATTTGATTTAAATAAAATCAGAAGAATTTGATTAAACCTAAATAATGAAATTATAGAACTTGAATGAAAATATTTTAGCTAATGATTTCATTATAGAAGAGTATTAAATTAGTTTTCTGTGTTTGGGGTAAAAAAGTAGATAAGGGAAGAATCTCAAATAAGCGAGTAAAAAGTGCCATTTTAGGGGCTGGAGAGATGACTTAGCCGTTTAGAGCACTGGCTCCTCTTCCAGAGGACTGGGGTTCATTTCCCAGCACGCACATGTCAGCTCACAACCTTTCCAGGGGATCAATGCACATAATATATAATTAAATAAATAATTAACAAAAAATAAAGTGATATGAAAAATTTTAAAAAGTGCCAGTTTAGTTGGGCATGGTGGTGAATGCCTTTAATCCCAGCTTTCAGGAGGCAGAGGCAGGTGGATTCTGTGAGTTTGAGGCCACCCTGCCCTATATGTTGAGATCTAGGCTAGTCTGGGGCTACATAGTAAAGAGACCCTGTCTCAAAACAACAGCCACCCCCACTCTCACCTGCAAGTGTTCTTCAGCGATATCCCCTGCTCTTTCTATTTTTGCTGTTGAGCCAAAGAAAGCCCCTATTATCCCTTTGTCGTCTTTTCTTGGCTCTTCATCTACTTTGCTTCCAAGCTCCAACCCAGTTCCAGCCATATTATATACTTACGTTTAAAAAACTACCAATTAATTTATGTTTTTTCCTTGAGGAGAAACTGTATTCAATTTATATTTTGACTTAATGGTTGTGTAGCTAAATGTTTGGATCAGTTTGACAATATAAATATAATGCTAACTACATATGTAATTTTAAAAAAGTTTTTTTAGGAAAGGTCTAGCTATGTAGCCTTGAATGGCTTGTAGCTCACTATGTAGATCAGGTTGGTCTTGAACTCACAGAGATCTGCTTGGCTCTGACTTCCCTATGCAAGGATTAAAGGTGTGTGCCACCATGGCCATTATAACCTAACACTTTTTAGCTGCCACGAAGCCAAATGAAATTAATTTTAGTTATACATTTTATTTAACTCAGTAAATCCAAGATACTATTATTTCAGCTGATGGTCAATATTAAAGTTGAATTATAAGTTATACCTTTCCTATTAGGTCTTGGAAATCCAGCACATAAGGGTTTGGCGCCAGGCAGCTCTTCCTGCTGAACCATCTTGCGGGCCCTATTTAATTTTTTGATTTTAATTTTTAATTTTAAACATATATACTTAACTTAGTTGTTTAAATTTATTTGGGTCAATATTTATATTTCCTAACATTTACAGTTGGAAAAGTAGTCACATACCTCATTTTTCCATAATTTCAGTGAATTAAAATTAAAATTCAATCCTCCACTTGGATGAGCCATATTTCAAGTGTCCTCACATGCAGTTAATGTTTTGGGCAGTACAGTAAATTCTGTTCATTACATGACAAGTCACATAGAAATATACACGCTGTGGTGGGTGGTGGTTGTTACTCTTCATGGCCCAAAGCCTCCTGGATAGGAAAGTCCCTGTTAGATGTTTGGTCTTTCTTTACTGGTAATCAAAGAGATCCTAACTGATAATGTAGAGCTCAATAGTTGGCTAAGAGGGGAACTTGATTTAGATTGGGATTTGGAAGAAGTGATAATTAATGGGAAAATTAGCATGATTTGGGTGGGTGTGTACTAGAAAGAGGAGCATCAGAAATCCAGAAGAAAGCCAAGAGACAGGAACATAAAACATGAGTGGAGAGTAGGTGAAGTTGAAGACTTCAAGTATGCTGGCCTTCAGCAATGTAGAACAAAGGCTTACGGCATCAGTCAGTTTGGATGTCCCACAGCAGGAAATGCAAGCTACTTTGTGCTTTGAAATAAACCAGATAGGTCAATGTCTGATTACCTAAAGTCGCCAAAGAGGAAAATATTTAGCATTTCTCATATGATACTGATTCTCTGCCAGAACAATTTATTTGTTGACTTTAAATGTGAAAGTTTGGAGATATAAGATCATTTGAAATCATGTGAGAAAAATGGCCCTTTTCCCACCAGGAAGTGACCAATTTTCAACCTGGAAACTCTGATATGTATACATTTGATGAAACAGTCACTTAAACTCACTTAAACACTCTTGCAAGTGTTATGTGGTTTTTGTTTTTGTTTTTAATTTAAAAACTGTATTATTACTGTTGTGTGTTGAGGATAGCAGGCACTTATGGGAGTCCCTTCTTCAAGGGTTCCAGAGATCAACCTCAGATGTCAGTTTAAGCACCAAGGGCTTTTATCTATTGGGTCATTTTACTAGTCCACAAATGTTTTTGTAAGTGATTGTTTTCCCTAAACGCTTCTCTGTCTGAGAACAACAGCTCTGCTATGGGTGTCTCCTCTCTCCCCCTCCAGATTTATTTATTTATTTATTTATTTATTTGTTTATTTATTTGTTTAGTTAGTTTTTTGAGACAGGGTTTCTCTGTGTAGCTTTGGAGCCTATCCTGGCACTCGCTCTGGAGACCAGGCTGGCCTCGAACTCACAGAGATCCGCCTGCCTCTGTCTCCCAAGTGCTGGGATTAAAGTTGTGCGCCACCAATGCCCGGCCAAATTTATTTTTATTTAAGTATATGTGTGATTGTATGCCACATATGTTCAGGTGCCTATGAAGAATAGGAGAGGGTCTTGTATCCCTGGAACTGGAGTTACAGGCAGTTACAGTTGTGAGTTACCCAATGTGGATGCTTGGAACCAAACTTGTTCCTCTGGAAGAACAGTACACTCTTGTAACCATTGGGTCGTCTCTGCCCCCCCCCCCCCATTCTCACTCACTAGGTTTGGGTTTTTGTCTTAGGTACAGTATGACTAAAGAGTTTAAAAATATATGTATTCATTAGTGAAAGAAAGAGAATGAGAATGTTGACTTTGTGGCTTTAGAAGATTGTTCTGTGTGGTTGAAAATGCATTGGAAAATGAAAGAAGGTGGCCTTAGATTGCTTAGGAAACACCTGTCCCAGTGGCATGATACATTGCTAAGAATGGATTTAAGGTGGTGGAGAAGTAAACCTGATTGCTGCTGGCATATAGATGAATTTAAAACAATACACCTAGATTTTTCTTCCTACTTCCTCTCTCTGCCCAGAAGTCCCTCTTATACCTCTTGCCTAACTATTGGCCATTCAGCTTTTTATTATGCCAGTCATAGCAATACACCATCACACATTGTATAAATATCCCACACGACTTTCCTGCTAAGAATGTCTAGATTTGATGATGTCTAGCTATTGGCTCTTCAGCTTTTTATTACACCAATCATAGCAATACACCTTTTCATAGTGTACAAATATCCCACACACCCCTCCTTTTGGTTTGGAGACAGAGTTTCTGTGTAACAGTCCTGGCTGTCCTGAACCTTACTTTGTAGACCAGGCTGGCCTCAAACTCACTGAGATCCACCTGCCTCTGCCTCCCACATGCTGGGATTAAAGGCATGAACCACCACTGCTCAGCACATTTTCTCCTTTTTGTCTAAATAAAAAGGAAAGGCTTTTTTTTTAAAAAAAAACTCTAACACAGTAAAACTATGTACAATAAGAACAATTATCAGGTAAGAATTACATTTACAATGTCCAGCTTATCTATATTTGGCAAATTTGAAGAAAATATTCCATTATCTATTATATCTTGGTGATTCCAAAGTTTTGTCCTAACTTATTTTTTATCCTAACTTGTATTACCAACCCAAAACTGTCTTTTTAGACCTTAAAACATTTTCTTAGATAAATAACTTAAGCTTTTATGTCTCTCAACCCTATATATTTTACACCTCTTTTGTGAGTTTCCTTTCTGAATTTGGTAACAAGGAAAATGGTAAAACTATAACTATCTAGTCTTTAATCCAATTAAAGGCCTGAGAAGGATATAATATTACTGGAGTAAACAGGAAGTGCAGATCAAGCAACTTGAAAAACTATGGAAATGACAAAGACATATGGCTACTTGGATTGTCACCCAAGGTTCCTATGCAATATTGGGCATCCATCTTTGATCTACAGGCCTAGAATACAGACTTTCTTGTGAAGCAGGAAATTTTTGAAGGACTGTCCTTCCTTGTCTTGGTAAAGTTTGGCAGTCACCTTGTCAGATTTGGACAGTATACTGTCAGCAGTCAAGGCAAGGAAGTTTCTTGCCTAGTGGCTA